AGAATTCTGTTCATCTAATTAAACATGCTTTTTGTGGGAAATCTCACTTTTCTCTTGCTGCTTCCAAGATTCTTTGTCTTGTCTTTTTTCTTTTTTTTTTTCTCTCTCTCTCTCCTTTTTTTTTTTTTTTTTTTTTTTAGGTTTTTGCATAGGGTGTGTGTGGTTGCCTGAGAAATATAGTAAGAGCAAAAGTGAGAAATCACCCCCTGTGGGGATGGCTGCACCACAATCACTTCTCTTCCATTCTCCTGGGCATCCATGCACACATGTCAGTGTGATTTTCAGTCAGCCAGGTCCAGGATTTGAACCACAGTCAAGTATGTTGGAGTCCAGTGCTTTAACCACCAGTTCACCACAGACCCTCTTTATGGTTTTCTTTTGACAGTTCAATTTGGATGTATCTCTTGTGTACATTTTTTAGTTTGCACTTCTTGTAATTCCTTCAGCTTCTTGAATGGGCAGATTATTTATTTACCAAATTGGCAAATTTTTTAGCCATTATTTCTTCAAATATTTTTTCCTGTTCCTCCTTTCTTTGACAATCTTTATATGTATGTTGATTTATTTCATGATGTTTTACACCATATTAAGAACCGTTTTACACCATATTAAGAACCACATTGGGAACCAGCAGTTAGCGTAATGGCTATATCGCTGGACTCCCACGTAGTCGACCGCGGTTCGTGTCCCGGACCCGGTGGCTTAAAACTCACGCCGGGCATGTGTGCGTGCGTGCCCAAGATCCTGAGAGGAGAATGGAGGAGAAGGGATTGTGGCATGGTCATTCCCCCTGGGGGGTGATTTCTCGCTTTCTGTCTCTATGTCTCTCTCTGTCTGGCAAGCGCACGCGCCCTATAGCGAAAAACCTCTTAAAAAAAAATAAAAGAATCATATTAAGATCTGTTAACTTTTCATTATTTTTTGGGGGGGACAGGTTTTTTTTTTTTTTTTTTTTTTGCTATAGGGCGTGTGCACTGGCCAGAAAGACAGAGAGAGACAGAGAGACAGAAAGAGAGAAATCACCTCCCAGGGGGGATGGCCACCCCGCAATCCCTTCTCCTCCATTCTCCTCTTGGGATCTTGGGCATGCACGCACACGGCGCCTGGCCTGAGTCCAAGCCACTGGGTCCGGGACTCGAACCGCGGTCAACTAAATGGGAGTCCAGCAACATTACACTAACTGCTGGTCCCGGCTTTTCATTATTTTTTTTCCTGTTCCTCAAACTAAATAATTTTAGTTAACTCATCTTCAAGTTTGCTGATTTGTTCTTCTGCTTAAATACATTCTTGACCCTTATATCAATTTTTACATTTCAGTTACTGTATTTTGCAACTGTAGAATTTGAATCCTTTTGAATAATTTTATAATAAAAACGATTCATACTTTTTATTTGGTGAAACAGACTGTTAGTGCTTCACTTTGGTTCTTTCAACATTTTTCCTTTAGCTCCTTAAACATAATTAGCAGTGATTAAGCTTCCTCCAGTTTTCACTGAGTGCTTTTACCTTCTGGGTAGTCCTTTTTTCTTTGTGTCACGTTTTGTGTGGTTATTGAATACAGAACATTTAAAATAATACAATGTAGCAACACAGTGGACTTTCCATTTTCACTTCTCTTCCTCACTTCTTTTCCTATTGTTTGCTAAGTTGTCTTTTTCTATGTGAACCATTTTATGCTAAATCTGTGAAGTCTGTTTTCTTTTTCTCATGTGTATCCACTGAAATCTTTTCTCAGTTTAGTGGGCTTTAATGACTGAACAATGATTCTTATACATCTAGAAACCTCTTATCTTCGCTGAGTGGCTCTGCTTGTTTAAATGCACCTTCAGTATTATTCATCCAGACATTTGTCAGCTCTGCCTCAGTTTTGTTTCTTGCTTTCATAAAATCTCAAGATCAGTCAGAGGTTAGATTTTAAGAGGCTTCTCAGTATTTCCAGAGCATGCAGTCAGCTGCAAGCTTTCACACATCTATGGGCATTTACTTCCATATTACCAGCAATATTCTGGAGCTTCACAAAGCCACTATAGACATTATTCCCCAGTTTTCCTTCTAAGTTTTTTATTTATTTATTTTTATGTTATGTTTGCCCCAATTGTTAGTCAATGTCTCAGGTAGACACAAAGTTCAAAAACTGCCTGAATTTTTTTTTTTTTTTTTTTTTTTTTTACCAAAGTTCCCCCACCTCCTTATTTTTTTTTTTTTTTTTTTTTTTTTTTTTTTTTTTTTACAATCATTCCCTGGAAGAAGACTTTCCTGGGGAAAGACTTTTGCACTGTTTGAGCAAAAAAAGTCTTTGATTCGATGAAGTCAAATAAAGACATCCTTACAACTGAGGTATTCCAAAGAAAACTACCAGACCAATAAAATGATGACCATTGTCTAAGAGTGAAGCTTTAAAAGCATTCTAGCATGGTTTTACTCTCTTGTGTGGCTGCTAGATTACTGGTTTACTTGGCAAGGTGACATTCTTTTTATGCTGAAGATTATACAAGATTATACAAATAAAGCCACAATGATTAATAATTTGAACTATTTGTGCTTGCATTTAGATTTTTATCCATCCAAAATTTACTTTTGTAATTATATAAGTTATATGTTAAGGGAGGAAAGTAAAAAATTACCCTCTGGGGGGATGGCCATGCCACAATCCTTTCTCCTCTATTCTCCTTCCAGGATCTTGGACATGAACGTACATGTGTCCAGTGTAGTTTTCAAGCCACCAGGTTATTGTCAGCCATGTAGGAGTCCAGCAACGTAACTGCTACACCATCTGCTGTCCCCACTCTGTATTTTTTCAAACAGAGATTCTACATTATTCTAGCTCCATTAATTAAAGTTTTTCTCTCACTGAATTCAGATACCACTTAAAAATATTAATTGATATCTCTGACTTTTAGTTTTTTTTCCTCTAATCTTCATTTATTACAGTGATGATAAATACTGATTTATTATGATGGTATCATAGGTCATTAAATTATAACTAGTGGCAAGTTCCCAACATTTTTCAGATAGCTCTTATAAAGTCTTACATGCTTTTCTCTTTCAATATGAACTATAGAGAAGTATTTCATTTAGTTATATTTTTATGTTAATTTTGAAAAAGCTGACATATTCTATTAATCTTTTCCATGACATATTCTTTTTTTTTTTTTCTGAGAGGTTTTTGCTATAGGGTGCATGTGCTCTCCAGAAAGAGAGAGACAGAGAGACAGAAGGCAAGAAATCACCCCCTCAGAGGGCATGGCCATGCTGCAATCTCTTCTTCTCTATTCTCCTTTTGGGATCTTGGACATGCATGCACATGCACCTGGCATGAGTTTAAGCCACTGGGTCCAGGACTAGAACCACAGTCGACTACATGGGATTCCAGCGACATAACCATGACTCCAGCTGCTGGTCCCGCATATCATTCTTTTCATGTAGATTTGACTTAGACATTTAACAAAGAGTTTCCTTTGACTTCATATAGGTCCTCTCTTTTTGTTAAATTTATTCTGAAATATTTTATATTTTTAACAAAACTTTTAAGATATTGTCACTATATTTTAAAACACAGTATTATGGACCAGCAGGTAGCATGGTGGTTAAGAGGTACTGGACTCCCACGTGGGTGCCTGTGGTTCGAGTCCCAGACCTGACAGCTTGCTTTCTCACTTCTCTCTATCTGGTGAGTGAATGCACGTGCCCTATAGCAAATTAAATAATAATAATAATAATTAGTACAATGAAATAATTTAAAACAAATTATTACTTCTAGAGAACAAGCAAAAGCTATCAATGTCCTTATCTTTAAATCTATACATTTTACCAAAAGCATTTAATTTAATTTAATCTAATTTAAGTTTTTAGTTGCCAGAAGGCAGATGCAGGGAAAGACAGTGACAGAGGAGGGAGCAGAAATAGCCCCCCAATGAGATGTAGTCACACCAAAACCTCTTCTTCTATTTCTCCATCCTGTCAGGATTTGAGGCATGCACACGTATACTCAGCATGTTTTATAAGCCACTGGGGATGAGAGTCAAACCATGGTTGGCCATGAAGATCTGGTTCCCTTAACAACCAGGATGTAGGGCTGCCCTATAATTTATTGTAATTTTAAATAGGTATTTAATCACATCACCTGAAATTAAAACTACATTATCTATTCATCTTCAGTGTTATAATAAAAATATTTGTTTTTATTACTCAATTGTGAATAGACACTTTTTTAATACAACATGATTAATAATATTGCCGATAAAAGATAATGTCTTATTTTTGGGCATACATTCATTATTTCATTATTTTGATATTTTCTATTGGCTTTTTTTGTTTGTTTGTTTTTGGAAAGGCTTTTGCTATAGGGCATGTGTGCTCGCCAGACAGAGAGAGACAGAGAGATAGAAAGCGAGAAATCACCCCTCGGGGGGATGACCATGCCACAATCCCTTCTCCTCCATTCTCCTCTTGGGATCTTGGGCACGCACACACACGTGCCCAGCGTGAATTTAAGCCACCGGGTCTGGGACTTGAACTGCGGTTGACTACATGGGAGTTCAGTGACATAGCCATTATATTAACTGTTGGTCCCATTGGCTCTTTATATTATATTTGGGAATTCTTCCTTTTACAACTTTTAAAAATTATGAAAAAATAGATGATAAATTTATTAAATGGCTATTTAACAAAATATCACCACATTTCATGTTATTTTCTTCTTTAATTTGTTGGTGTAAATCAATTTTTGAGTTATGATTCAAAATTTTCTGTTTATCAGTTTCTAAAAATGTAAAACTTTCTATTTTATGTGATTATTCATTTAAATCAACACTTGATTTAGACTTGATTCATATTCTTGCATCAATTTTTATAAGCTTATGGTGATATTTTATTCTATTTCAGTCAATATTTATTAAATTATGGTAGCTATGTAAAGGGAAATATAACCTCTTTCTTACTTTTTAAAAGGGTAAGAAGCTCCACAATTCACTTATTTTCTGTGTATTTTTTTTTCTTAGCTGAATGATTTGAAAAAAGTTTATGAACAACTAATCTGGAAGCAAAAAGTTTATAAAAAGCAGTATCTAGAAGCACTTAGTACTTTTTATGCAGTGGTAAGTTAACCTTTCCTTACTTCTAACTAGAGTTCTAATCTCTGTTCCCAAATATTACTTGTGTAAACAAAGTAACTTTATTTTATATACATTTTTTTCTTTTTGACAATTAAACATGTGTAAATGAATCCTTTTTTTTTTCTTAAAGAGAAACACATGGGATATTGAGCTTTCTAATTTTGCAAAAGATCTTTCAGATCTTTCAATAGCACATACTCAACTGACAGAAGAAAATAAAAGAATTGTGATTGAAATTGACAACATTACATATCAAATCAGTGAAAGGTAATTCAGCAAATAGATTTTTCCCTATATAACATATCCAATATATTAGATAGGATAAACCTCTGCAATATGTATTCCTTGGGTAATAAGATGGTGTTTGCATTTATCATTAACTTACATTTTGTTTAGTTCCATTCTCAGTGTTGTCTTTTAATCATTCTGGATCCTTTCTCGTGAGGATAAGAAAAATGAATGAGAGTATTATTCTGCAATAACACCAACCCCAAATCTTAGTGGCTTACAATATAAAGGGTAATTTCTTGCTCATTTTGCAATTTAGCTCTGTCTTCTGTTTTTGCAGTTCACATAATTTCTTCTGAGAGAGTTAAGAATTATCTCCTTCTGGGGTATGCTGCTGTGGTAATAGAGGGTAAAGTGTATAAGTGAGATCACTCGATGGCTCTTACAGCATCCACAGGAAGACAATAGATGTTACTTCTGTTCACACAGAACAGAATGAGATGTCTAAAAAGAAAGTATAGACAGAAGTAATTGGAATGTACACATCCTGCAATATGGCTAATAGAGAATAAATACCAAAAATATTTTTGCTGCAAAACACATACATGGGGCATAAACAGGGCTTACATCCTTTGAATGAGATGTTACACTTATGAGAAAGTAAAAAAAAAATAAATAAAAATAAATAAAATAAAATTAGTCCAATGCAAAGAAAGTCATTGAACTGTAGGCTTAATACCCAGCTGCAATTTGGCCACCTTGAAAATATGGGCAGAAGAGTGGTCTTGCTGAATTTAGTAAACAAGGGTATCACCTTTTAGTGACTTTGAAGGATAGATCGTGGCCATGGATCTGTGCATATGAGGAAGCTAGACAAAGTCTAAGTACTTGAATGGATGGACCAGAAAAAAATGTGCCTACTGGCAAAGGAAGAAACAAGAAAGCGAGGAAAAACAGGTGAGCACATTCCTAGTTTGGTCTCTTCACACTGGCTTGGTCTTTACACCATCTGGGTGACCTTGGAAGGTCCTAACCAAGAAATTAGAATAAAAAAAAGTATTCTCTAAAAGAATGAACTTCACATCAAGGCCATACACGATTCTCAAAGATAAGTAAGACTTTTAAAAAGAAGCTGACAAAATTATAAAACACACAAGGAAAAAATATAGCATGAATGAGAGTTATCAAAATTAACCAGCAGTATATTTATCTCCCAAGAATTTCAAATAATAACATTATTATATAATTCTATACCAGATCATTGGATTCATTCAATTTTAAAATGATTAGAGGAAAAAATACAAACTGATGGAACATATCAAAAAAGTTCAGGCAGATCTGAAAGAGAACCTACTAGACCTTGTAAAAATTAAAACGGAATTCATTTATACTGAAGATTTTATTAATTAGGGACCAGCCAGTGGTGGTAAAGATGCATGGCAAAAGACACAGTAATTAGTGTGAATGACAGCCCTCAGAATGGGAAAATATTTTTGTAGAGTATGGATTAGATAAGGGACTGATAGCCAGAATACATAAGAAGCTCAAGCAGATGTCCTGAAAAAAGTTGAACAGTCCTATTAGAAGATGGGAGAATGAGCTGAAAAAAACACTTTCTAAGGATGATATACAAATAGCCAAAAGGAATAAGAAAAAATGCTCAACATCCTACACTGTAAGAGATGCAGATCAAAACCACAATGAAATACGACCTAACCCCAGTCAGAATGACTAAGATTAAAAAAAAAAAAGATAAGTGCTGGCAGGGTGTGTGTGTGTGAAAAAGGAATTATCCTACACTGCAGGTGTGAATGTAAATTGGTCTAGACACTGTGGAGAACAATATGGAGATTCCTCAAAGATCTACAAATAGAACTACCATATGATCCAACAATCCTGATACTTGGTATCAACATAAAGGCAGAAGAATTCTTAATCAGAAAAGTGCTAGCACATCGATGTTTATTACAGCATTATTCACAATTGCTAAGACATGGAACCAACCCAAATGCCCACACAAAAATGAGTGGATTTCAAAAATTGTGGCACATATGCTCTATGAAATACTACTCAGTCATACAAAGCAACAAGATCCTGGCTTTTGACAAAAAGTCGATGAATATGGAAGATTTACTGCTGAGTGAAGCAAGTCAGGCTATAAAGGAGAGACATTGTATGTCTCCACTAAATACATACCGAGTGTCCGCACTCTGTGGTTGAAACTGAATGACTAAAGGATATAGAAACATAGTAAATGGTTGTGAATACCAGATACAGTGTGGGAAGAGGATGGGTGAAAGAGTAGAGTCTGAGGAAGGACATTAAGGAGAAAAATAGAGGGGCAAGTCATTTATGGGACAAAGAAATGGCTCATTATCTATTGAAGATAACTTTATAGTATTGTTAACTGGACTGGTGAGAAATGTACACATATTAGAATATTCACTTTGCAAGCTAAGTAAAATGTGATTGAATGTATAAAAGAATTGAAATAAAATATCATTTAGGAATATAAAAAAAAAAGAAAAAAAGAAAAACATATATTGGACTTCAACATGGTCGACCACAGTTAAGTCTCAGACCCAGGGGCTTTGAATATCACATCAGGCATATGTGGGTGTGTGTGTGTATGTGTGTGTGTGTGTGTATGTGCCCAAAATCCCAAGAGGAAAATGGAGGAGAATGGATTGTGGTGGCCATCCCTTTTGGTGGGTGATTTCTCACTTTCCCTCTCTCTGTCTCCTCCTGGCATATGCATGTGCCCTATGGCAAAACCCCAATAACAACAACAACAGATTCTATGAATTGAATAGTACATACAGCCATGAGGGTGAAAAATATATTAGAATCTAGAATGTGGCACAGAGAGGAAAAGAGGAAGAATGTGAGAGTTACAGGAAATAGAATGAGGAAAGAAACAATGTAAAAGAAAAGAATAGCAGGTAGTTTATAATTTTAAAATTCTGAGATTCAGACATCGCAATAAATCCCACAACATTAACTCAGAAATAAGACTTTAATTACACTTTAGCTTCTTCATATTAAAAAGATAAAGAATAATATTCCTTTTTGTCAAATAAGTGATTTGACTATGACAATATCTGCCAGTAGCTTTCCTTCCTCTTTAAACTCAGGGCATAAATGGTGCTTCCTAGTCAAGGCCAATACCTCATCTGTTCCTTGGTGTGTGCTCAAAATCCCAAGAGGAGAATGAGATTTTGCCCTGGGTAAGGCATTGTTTGATTTGAATCATTCTGTTGATATTTTTAACATCTTCATTAATTACCTTTATCTCCTTATCTTTTTTCCCTGTAGACATTGTCTTCCAATCTAAAATAAAAGCTTTGCCTTCATCTTGTTTGTACATTTAACCATTTACTCAGTATTTCTACTCCATTCTCAATAAACAATGATATAATTAACAATATCGTGTTTGCCAGATTATCAGTCATACTCACTTGACTATTTGTTAATCACTGAAAGTACTAGTTTGTTTTGTTTTACTTTGTTTTTCAGAGAGAGATTTTTGATATAGGGTACATATGCTTCCTGGAGAGACAGAGAGTAATTACCGCCCAGGCGGGATGGCCATGCCACAATCCCTTCTCCATTTTCCTCTCGAGATTTTGGGCATGCACGCACATGTGCCAGCGTGAGGTTTAAGACACCAAGTCCAGGATTTGAACTGTGGTTGAAATCCAGCAATGTGACCATCATGCCATCTGCTAGTCCCAAAAGGACCAGTTTGAATATCTACTCCCTCTCACATGCATCCTGGCACTATAATCCACCCCGTTACTTATTACAAGCATCATCCTATATATTCCCCTTCTTCTGGTCACAGCCAACATTTTACCAACTTCTATTAACTCTCCTTTAAATAAAGAAAAGATGCCTGGTTCAATTCATTCCTAGTTTGAACCCTCAAATCCATCATAAATGATGTCACTAGTACAATCTATATACAAACAATGGAGTGTGACTTGCTTTCAACAGCTTGAAACCGCTTGACAAAGTTTCAGAGAAAAAAAAAAAAATTCAGTGTTTCCCTACCAGCTATAGAATTAGATCCAAATTCCCAGACTGAGAGATTAGTGTCATCTGTCACCTCCCAAATTTCAGACTCATCCCTTACCACCCTTTGCATGATCTTTATATCCTAGCCTATCACAATACTTATGCCTCCAAACTCATGGTTTTGAGCTCACCTTTGATCTCTGATATTTCTCCAATTAAAATTCCCTGTTTTCACACCCTTCTTTCTCTCCCTTCTCTTCTTCAGTCATTTTTTCCCTTATGTAGTTTTATTTTTTTAAGTTTTCGTTTTTTTGCTGGAGGGCACATGTATTCATCAGTAAGATTCAGAGGCAGAAAAAGAGAGAGGGGGAAGTGTAAAATCTCACCCCCAGGGGAAATGGCACATGCAGTTCCTTCTCTTCCACTCTCCTCTTGAGATTGTGAGCATGCACTCATATGTGCTCTGCTTATTTTCCAAGCTGCCAGGTCTGGACTTGAACCATGCACTTGGCCATGTGGGATCCAGCCACCTTAACACCTATACCACCTGGCTGGTCCATTTCCTTATCTTTTTTTCATTTTATTTTGTTTAGTTGCCAGGGGATGGGTGTGTTCACCAGTGAAAGAGACAGAGAAACAGAGAGAGAGGAAGGAGAAAGCACTCAGCAGTGGAGCATCATCAGGTGGCAACTGCTTCTCCTCAGCTTCTCCATCCTGTTGAGATTTGCCTGTCCTGTGTTTCAAGCCAACTGGGCAAGGATTTGGACTATTGTCAGCCATGTGGAATCTGACTTCCTCGCCACTAGGCTATGGGGCCAGTCCCAATTTGTCTTTTAATTTGATTATTGGATCATTTATATAATAGTTTAGAATAGTCCCAGAAGCTTCTTCTCTTGATAACTTTCCTTTCTCTCTCTGCAAATCAAGGACATATTAAGTGATTCTTTCATCATTGCACATAAAATTACATGGGAATCTAACTTTTAACTTTTAACTTTCTTTTTTCCTTTATGAGAGTATAT